CAGGCTGCAGCTCAACAACGGCCTTGCGCTCACTCCGCAGATGGGGTAACTAGTGCCTGCCTCTGCAGCTGCTGCTGCGCTTGCTCTGCCTTCGCGCTTCGGCCAGCACTAAATCAGTTCCACTAAGTTGCGTGTGCGCAGATGGAACAGCTGGAATTTCTTCGCCTGCAACATCAACGAGACGGTCATCCGCGAGACAGGTTCGGTCCCGGTTCCACCGCGGCCTCCGCCTCCTCAGTCCTCACTTTCCGCTGCCAAATCCGGAGTTCCGCTACTCTAGTTTTAGTATATACCCGTTTCGAAATTTTGACCTAATTCGCAATTGTCGCTTATTCGGTGCGTCCCCCGCTGCTCAAAATACATTCAGTTAGGTCATATCATACATAGGTGAATGATTACTGTTGGATACATATAGGACTGCTTCGGTTCACTATTCAAGCGGCATGTTTGCAAGCAGCAACTAGTGTTTGCGTGATGTGTGTGATAGCTGCCAAAATGCCTTCTCCAAAGCAGAGTTTGCTCAGACATGTTCTCCACCTGTTATTATTGAACAGCTGACGCGCTGGTGTCCACGGGACTGGCTGCGCTGGGCTATAACTTCGTAAATATTGGTACACCACTTGGCTCAACACGACGAATTGTTTGGCTCTAGAGACTATTTTGTTTATCTTAGCTTTGGTTTGTTGCTTACTTCTTCAGATGATTGCTGGTCCTACGTGAAACGAGGAAAGCAGGTAACGGGATGCTTTGATTCCATGTTTTCCAATTCTCTGTCAACTTGCATTTGGAGACATGCGCTTAAACTGATTAGGTAGTTAACGTGTAGTTTACTTGGCACTGATCAAATAGTCTTATTCGTTGTACTTGTTGAATGGCTGCATGTATACTCGGTTTGCAAAATGTATGCGTGATGATTTTTCCTGGTTTTGATGAAAACTGGACCTCGGTACATGTATTATGAATTGGGAAAATGTCTAATTTGTATTGCAATGCCCCTATCTGTATAATGGGTTTTCTCTGATTTTTGTTTCGACAAAATATTTTTCTACAACGCTGTACATTGTTCTAAAGTTTTCCATACAACATAGCCTCCTTCTGTACTTTTTTGTTGAGTTGCTCTGTTTTATTTTAATGTATTTTCAGAAGTTTTTTTCTTTTTAAATGGAGTTTGTCTGCATACCTTCATGGGGTATCCACCACACTGTTATTTGCCAATTTTTTTTTTCAAATAGTGGGATGGATATCACCCTAGCTCACAAAATTGGCTTATTTCATCCCAAGATATACTAATACTGTAACACATGCATAATCAGCAGCTTATCTATACAATTCTAATGGATCTTTCTTGTAACATTTAGGATCAATTGCTGCCTGATCCGAAGACTTTCCCTTCAGGCATCAAAGCCCTTGCAGATTATATGCATGGGAAAGGTCTGAAACTTGGTATATACTCTGATGCTGGGTAAGTGAACATCTCAATTATAGAATTTCAAATTTCTGTATCTGCTGGACAGTTAACTTAGCATTGACAATAACAATCTCAATAAGATAAATCTTTCAGGAAATTTACTTGCCAAGTTCGACCTGGATCACTCGATCATGAAAATGACGATGCTGCGATCTTTGCTTCATGGGTATGTGCATGAAGCATCCACTAAACTACCGCTCTATACAATATTGATTTAAATTGTTCATGTCAACCTACCTATTTGTGACTTCAGGACTTTAACTATGCTGAACTACCTTTAAACATGAAGATATTGTACTAATACATGAATACGACAATTGTTTCTTTTCAGGGTATTGATTACCTGAAGTATGACAACTGCTACAATTTGGGAATAAAGCCACAGAAAAGGCAAGAAGACTCATATATCTTCCCTAGTGTTGATCAGAGTTAGAACACATACGACCTTATCATGCGTGCTAAAGTTTGTTTCATGGTGTTATATTTGTAGATATCCTCCTATGCGAGATGCTCTTAACTCAACTGGGCGCCAAATATTCTACTCTTTGTGTGAATGGTAGACCCCTTTCCTTTAGGGGGGAAATGCAGATACAGTTATTTGTCATGCTTTCTTCAATGGTTATTGAATCGTGATCTCTGTAATGTGCTATCATGCTATTTTAACTTAGGGGCCAGGATGATCCAGCCTTATGGGCTGGCAAAGTGTGCAATAGTTGGCGTACAACTGACGACATAACGGATACATGGAAAAGGTAACCCATGTTCTATCCAGGGGAGAGACATTAGCTCTGATAATGTGCTCTCAAACTGACTGATTTATGTATCTGGTGAAAACAAGCATGACAGACATTGCTGATAAGAACAACAAGTGGGCGTCATATGCTGGACCTGGTGGTTGGAATGGTAATTATGTTAGTGAGGAGTTCAAGCTGTCTGCAATTTTCCGTGCTTTGTGGAATTGTTCAATATACTGTTACTCTGTTATTGAACCTCTATTTTTCTGCAGACCCAGATATGCTGGAAGTAGGCAATGGTGGCATGACCTTAGCAGAGTATCGCTCACATTTTAGCATCTGGGCTCTCATGAAGGTAAGTTTTCACTGAGATTGGACCGATGTTGTATGACCATATTTTGAATACTGCTTCAATTGTTGTAAGGGTACTTGAGTAAAGGGGTTGACTGAAGAGTTTTGAAAAAATAAAACCTGTAGTTCATTGAAGATGATAATTGTTATGCAAGTATTACTATTATTGATTCTCCACCTACTGATATTATTACTTTTGGATGCGAGAAAGGAGATGTCCTAATCCTAATGGGTTAACTGCTAGCAGTTCCTTATATACTGTTATGCTTCAGGCCCCTCTATTAATTGGCTGTGATGTCAGAAACATGACTTCTGAAACAATGGAAATATTGAGCAACAAAGAAGTAATTCAAGTAAACCAAGGTATTATTCTGATTCTTCTTTGGGAGAGAGCATGTTATCCTGGTTTAGCATCACATGCTATAAACATATGTTTTTACATAGCAACTGACAACCTTCTCCTTTTCTGTACATAATTTCTCAACATACCTTATCCGGCAGAACAATTACATAAACTGTTGAGTTGCATGTGTTTTATTTTCTGCAGACCCTCTTGGAGTTCAAGGAAGAAAAATTTTAGGAGAAGGGAAATCTGGATGCCGCGAGGTGTGATTTGACTGTCCATTTCCCACTCGTTCTAGACAGTGTTATAGCCATAGGGTTCCCCTATTGTAAGTAGTTGTTTCATGTCTGCATGGAAGGCCATCACATGGAACTTGTTTGCCCAGTTTCGACTTTCAGTGCATTAGTACATCAAACTCACAATGTAACTCGTGGCTGCAGGTGTGGGCTGGTCCCCTGTCTGGAAATCGGCTTGTTGTTGCTCTATGGAACCGTTGTTCAGAGACTTCTAACATTACAATGAAACTGCCAGCAGTAGGCCTTGATGGGTCAGCTGCCTATTCTGTTAGGGATCTGTGGAAGGTAAGCCAAAAAGTTTCAATTGCTGTTAGGTGCGGGAGTTCAGTTCACCTTTCAAGCACTGGGTGAACAAAAATCAGTTCTCATGAAATTTGCATTGTTCCTTTTCAGCATGAAACTCTATCTGAAAATGTCGTAGGAACTTTTGGCACTCAAGTTGACGTGCATGACACCAAGATGTACATCTTTTCTCCTGCAACCAGTGTCGCTTCAATTTGATCAGAACTGGCAAATCCTAGATGACAGCACGCTATATCCAAGGATATCACGACAACAAACACCTTCATTTTTCCTGCTGCAGTCTGTCCCACTCAAGTGCAGAAGCCCACTTGGTGCAGAATTGTCTCATTAATGTTTGCCATTTCTCACGATCACGAAGTAGTTTTCTTTATGTTTCTTCTGTTTATGTAAGGTGTACTGCTAATGAGGTGGCTCATATGTTGGCTAGACTGAGCTCGCTCACTACTCGGTGTACCGGCATTGCATCCTGGGGCGTCCAGTATCGTGTACGATTTGAAACTGTATGAACCAATGAGACAACCTTTGATGTAAAACAAAGTAGTGAGAGACCGAGCTTCAGCTCGGATGGCAAAGGCTTGCAGTGTGCAACCTGCCCGCTCACCGGGATTTATTCCCATTAATCTGTAGCCTCTCTCACGTGAAGCCATAAGGGGATGCTACAGCTGTAGCCAGAGGAGAGGCAATAAAAAAAAAACAAAGTAGTGAAAATACAGATTCACCCGCGGGGGCCGGACTGCCTGCCGGGGTGTACCGTGTACGCGAGCGGTCGGCACGTTTTTTGTTTCTTTTGGTGCAGGCACTTCTCGTTAATTTGTACCACCTCGCCGGTTAGCACATATCCCAAGCAGCTAAATAATCTGTTCTCATCAGACGCGTCGCCGAACCAAGTAGCGATGGCTTGTCACCCTAGCGGGGGCATTTAAGGTGGTGCGGATGCCAGACATGACACCGCCAGCCGTCCCTGGATACTAGGGTAGCTATACATACCATGTCTCGGTAAGTAATGCACAGAAGCAATAAAACAGACACAACAAACTGCTGCACCTAAATGCCTTTTCTTCATTTCTCTATTTTCAAATCAAAAGCTAAACAAGCAAATCTACAGAATCACGGTTCCTTTTTTTGGGAACATTTTCCACTTCTCCTGTCCAAATTTTTTTGGACTGTCTATGCTGAAGACGAAACTATATTGCTACACTACGCCTTCTAGCCTTCTAGGTGTTGCTTATCTAAGGAAAGGATTCATCATCATCTAAAAAGAAATAAAGGTGAGACGAGGATTATTATTGTTTTACACGGCACCACACTGCCACCATATCACGAAGGCTAATAGCATCTAAACTTGCTACGCTGTCGGACGAAAATCCTGCTGGGGAACCTGCTACGCTGTCGGACGAAAATCCTGCTGGGGAACCTATCTGACATCCTGCTGTAACTCCGAGCTTCTTCCCGTCACTAACTTCTACCACTACGATTAGCTGGATTATCTCAATGTCCTGTCAGTCTCAGCGGCAACCAGCTTGGAGGGGAGGGAAATCAGCTTCATCTCTCAGTTGGTACATCTCTTCATTCTCTTCTGACCTGCACGTTTTCACTACAAATATTATGGGAATTTCTTGACTCCAATTACTTCTCATACAACAAAACTGCAGAGACTTAATTGGGTCCTAAACTGCAACAACATGAGCTACATGTTCCAAGCAGTAAAACACTGCAAGGTACTGATCGCATAAAAATATACACTATGAGATGGAAATAAATACCTGCTTTTGGTTTCAACAGCCTTAGCGCTCGGCGCCACTGAAGCAGGGGCTTCAGCAGGCGCCTTGCTAACAGGGGGTGGTACTACTTCAGCTCTCTTTCTAGTGGGGAGCGCTGGGAATGCTTCCTCAAACTGTGTTGAGGTTGGGGTAAGTCCCAACGAGAAAGGCCCCAAGGATCCAAACTCCAAACTTTCCGCCGCATGTAAAAAATCTGCTGTGGCAGGTGAGGAAGGCTGACAGGTAGGACCATTTTGAGGAAGTACTATCCCTGACGAAGATGATGGTGGCTTTGTCTGTCTTCCCTCCTCAACAAAATCTCTTCCTACTGCCTGTTTGGTTCCACCGTCTGTTGCTACATGCTCCTTGAAACGAACAAAATCTCCATCCGGAACTGAGCTCTTGCTTGAATAACCACTCTGCTGCGCACTGTTTTGCTTCTTGAACGATTGATTTGTTGCACTTTGAGCTATGGCATCTTCAGTTTGTGAGCCAGAATATCCTTGCTCAGCTGAGTGATACCGACGATCAGGTAACCTCTGTCTTTGTTTTCTTGCTCGTATGATTTCTCTTTCAAGCGTTACACGCTCCCTGTATGTATGATAACTCTGGAAATCAAAACATGAACAGAGATTGAATAAGTAACCAATTGAAGAAGCTTTTACCAATAAACATGGTCACGTGCTATCTGGTTATACAAAAACTATGCCCATTTACCCTTAAAAGGAAATAATAAATCATGCAAGTGCTGGATGAATTTACTGAAAAAGTGCAAATAAGTAAACAAACAAATAAGATCTTGTGATAAGAGTTTGTACCACATTGGGAATGTATGTGCCAGTTCCATGCGTCTTAGGAGAGAAACAAAACCAAGAAACAGGATAGTTATCTGAATTGGTTGAAGGAGATGAAGGAAATGTTGATCCGTTGGGGGACAATGGTATATTCTGCTGCCAAACCATATCCACTTGGGCCTCAGCATATGGTTGTTGTGAATCATCTCCTGTCCTATTAGAACAATACACAGGAGATAGTTTCCTTCTCTCGCTATCAGTAGATGAAGCTAATGACAGGCTTGAGGATCTAGTGCTAGTTTTCAACTTCAAGATCATGTCTGGCATCTTGAAAGAATCCTCATCTAGCACATAAGCTAAACATGCTTCTTCAACAGCCTGCAGGAGTTCATCAAACAAAGACTCCAGGTGGTACTGAACTTTGCGAAGGCATCCCAAGTGCAGCTCCAGATCACCTGAGAGATCCAGCATATTTGACAGCAAGAAGGGTGGGAGTAGCTTTTTTCCTGCACGGGGAGCAGTCCAATCTGACTCATCAACAAAACAAGAACTGGAAAAATCCAAGATATTTGCACTAGTCGAGTTAGTCAATATATGCGATGGATGCTCCGCATAAATCTGTTGTGGCACATTTAATCTACTTATCTGGTGTAAATCTTCCTCTGCTGCATAATTCTCCAAGCACTCTTTACTGTTGCCATTACCATTATCTTGAGAAAAGGATGAGTGTCTCCTTAAACTTGCTAAAGTTGATGCATTTTCTTTGAAATCAGATGCATGTTCCATGAACCAGATTTTGTTCCAAGGAAGATCCTGAACAAGACCAGGCAAATACTTACCTGAATTCTTATGCACATCTGTCACACTCGAGTCCTTGTCTGGCAGTTTCGATGAATGACATGAACTTCCGTTTTCACCCTCATTCATGCAAGAATATTTACACCTCGATCCATCTTCACTAAGTGCCCTCTCAGGACCAAGCAAGGGTTGGAATGAACTACAAGTGTCAATGTCAGGTCTTTCTCCCTTTCCATGTCTCTTCAGTGTGTTTGCGAAAAATTCGTAAATTTCATCACGAATGTACTCGGAGGGTAACATGAGAATTTGACCAAGCTTTTGTGCTCCAAATGAGAAAGCACTGTGTATGCGATAAAAGTTTGCTGCACAAGATTAGCATATGTCAAGAACACTTATCATAGGAACCCTCCATTAAAAGGATTTTTAGTATACGTGCAGCAAAAAATGTGGTAAACATCCACACACACACATGCACTGTTTCGAAAACATAAAAAATGAGGTGACACAGTACATAAGAAAATGAATTAGTGCATTTTTTCATTCTAACCTTTGCTGACACTTCTGCCGAGATTATTATTCGCCTTGAGTGGATCGATTATGTTTAAAAACTTCTGGCGGAATTGTGTGTCGCATCCGTCAAACTCATTTGGAATTACAAGAAGTCTATCCAAATAGCCTTGTTGGAATTCCTTGCCAAGCAATAATTCACCTTGTATTTCTGTAGGTTCCACTGCAAGTTGCAAATTTAATAATTATTAGATTAGACAAGAGATCATACCACTGTGATTCATCAACAAAACAAAATAAAACAAGAACATATGACCCACCAGTTAAGTTCGGTAATGATGACAAATCAACAGGACCATTTAAGCTAATGCCATATCGATCCCAGTCAAACTTGCTAAAATATTCCAAAAACCTATAAAGGGCCTGTTAAAAAAAGCAGGTAGTACATGCAAAAGAATTAGTTCGAATATCACTTAAACATATTTGTAAGGAGCTCAAAAGTTCTGAATTCCAAAAATTATTACCTCCAGAGGACCATGCAGAGACTTGTGGAACATATTGAATATGTAAAGAATAAGTGTTTCCAAGGCATAAGTAGATATCAGTCCATGATGGGCTCCTAATATGCGACTTTCATGGTAGCACCAAGCCTTGATTAACATAATGCTCCTTTTGAACAAATGGTTTTTGCCAATCTGACGGTCAACCTAAAGCAATAACAGTAACTCGTTCAATGTATAGTGTTTTTCAAACCCAGAAAGTGCACGTGGAGCAAAAATTCAAGTTTGCATTTGCTTACCAGCTCAAGAAAGCAGAACGTGGACACCCCCCCAATCTGGTTGAAAGAGACATCCACGATAATGCTCTCAATAGTACATTTTATGAGCTTAACCTAGTTGAACAATAAAACCAAAGTTAGCACACGGGCAATATCAAAATGTATCAAGAAAAAAATAATGTGTATCAAGTATCAACTACTTTGACAGAAAAGTGGGTTAAACATAAGATGCACAAATAGGAGTATGCACTGTACCTCAGCGTTGATGAAGTGCAAGCCTGTCAGTTTGAACTCGGCGTCACAGTTTTCCTGTTCCGACTCGAGCATGCTGCGGACATCATCGATGAGTGTACTGTTTAACCATGTGTTCCCCAGTACGGTTATATCAACGTCGCCATCGGGGAGATACGTCCTCAGCGGCACTGATCCAAATGCAAAGACCTGGATTGTATATGATAATACAAAAAACAATGTTATTTCAGTGCAAAATGTGCTAATGTTCAAAATAAAGGAGGTAATGTGCTGCACACTAATAGCAAATCCACCGAGAAAATGTGCTGCACACTAATAGCCAAACCACTGAGAAAATGTAACATGCATTTCAATTGACATTAGTGGATCTGTGGATGTGGCGTGTACGAACTACTGTCGAACATCTATAAACACGCCAACACATTCTTCTTATACGGTTTTAATTGCATACAAAACAGAAGTTTACAGATCTCATGCGTGCACCACAGTTGAATGCAGTACGGTGGCAGGAAGTGGAAGGAATCTATGCTGATCGACCTAAACACATTGCTCCTGCTCTGTGGCATCCGTATCTCAAATGTTGGCCAGTGGCCGCAGCATGTCGAGGAGGTTGACATGAAGGTGGTGACCAGCTTTCAGTAAATATAAATATAAATAGGATATGCAGCATCGGCCTATTTTTTCAGGCCCTGCACGCCGCACACTCATCTAAGGTATATCGTATACGCATGTCGCCGCAGCACGTACGTAGCGCAGATGGCACTCGATATGGTGTGGAGAAAAGCTATTAGTTGCCGATGCCTGCTCGATTCAGGCACGTGAGATGGTAGGCAGCCACTGCGGCCGGTGTCAAGCAAAGCTATCATATGTATATAGTTGCCGAAGCCTGTTCGATTCAGGCACGTGAGATGAACTACCCAGGAACCCACATCACAGGTCACCTGCGATGCATCGGCGCATGCATCTAGATTACGAGCCTGACACGATCACGAGTTCAGGACACGGCGAAGGCCTAGGATGGGTCGTGTCTTTTCTCTGAAGACAGGGAAAAAGCTACAAGCTATACACAGGAGGCCGCAGTCCACGACAGAAACAGAAACAGTTCTAATCGTGCACAGAAATGTCCTAATCGCCGGCTTAACAAAACCTGTACGTACTTGGTAGCAACAGGGTAAAAAAGTGGAAGCAAGGTATAATCCAGTTACCTAATAATTTTTAAATAGTCAAATTACTTAATTACCCGAACATAAAAGGACAAAAAATACATTTGACCAGAAAATGGACCTGAAAATACTAGCCACTGCACATGACGCGATGCATGCTACCTGGCGTGACATAAGGGTTCTAGTAATCCAAGTACTAAGACTGACGAGTCGACTGAATGATTAGTCAAAAAGGTAGCATTAGAAAAAAACCATGGTGGGTGGGACATGGAAGTATATGGATCAAGAATTAATAAACAGAATATCCCTAATCCCAATCCCAGCGGCTAGGTGAAGGAAAACTACAGGAGCATGCATGGAATGGCCGGAATTAGCATAGGCACACACATACGCGCATGACGAAAACAGAAACAGCCATGGACGGACGACGGATGCACGTACGTGCGGCTGCGGCCTTTTCGCTAAAGACGCGGAGAAAGCTACGACCTATACATACGCTACGGCGACAGCGACCACAGTCCACGTCACGTCACTACACATTTGTTTTCTCGCGCTAGCGACAGGGGCACGGTAAAAGCGGGCGAAGGCGAGAGATTTGACCATCGTGCTGTAATAAAAACTAATAGAAAATAAAAACTGAGAGAAAAACTAGCTCCGACAGCACAATAAGCATGCGCGCGATAGTCAACGGCAATCAGTAAAATAGGACGAGGAGCATACATACATGCAGGATATATAATATTTATTGTAATAATAATAACAAGCATAAAAAAGAATTATGAATTAATGAAAAAGATTCTTTATCCCTAAATACAATGCAATACGGAGTATATAATCCAATCACACATATGAACATCCACGAGCAGGACCTGCTAGGACCCAGGTCCTAGCTAGAAGAATGCGACGGCGTGCAGTGCAGTACGCGGCGATGTGATTGGGATCGGGGATTGCGGGTACGCAGGAGCGGGCCAGCGGCACGAGGCTTCCGTTCCGGGAATGGAAGCAGGCAGCATGCAAACACCAAGCAGCGCCGCCGCACGACACGAAAACGAAACGGAAAGCTAAACCCCTTCCCTTCTCTCCCTCTCGAAGCTGAAGACGACGACGCGGGCGGGCGGCCGGGTAAGCGGCGGGCGACAGGGAGAGGCTAGGGAGCTAGCGCTGGCGCTCGCGAGAAAATAAACGGCTCCCTCGGGTAGGGAGATGGAGAGGGATCGGAGCGGGGGGTACGCACGCACCTCGCAGCCGAGGGAGGAGCCGATGAGTCGCCTGAGGTAGCTGATGACGTCCTGGCGGCGCCGCTCCGCCTCCTGGGTGGGGTGGACGCGCAGCACCACCTCGCCGGCGGCCGCCTCCGCGGCGCGCACCGCGTCCCGCCGGATCGCAGCCGGCGGCGGCGCCCTCATTGCCATCACCGTCGCCAGCGTATCCCTCTCGCCTCCGCCGCCGGCAGCGGCAGCGCCCCTCCCCCATGGGAGCGCCCACCCGTCGGCGCCGGGCACGAACCACCCGCCGTCCGCTCCCTGGCCGCGGCCGCCGAAGTACGCCATTGGAGCCGGGGGAGGAATCCAATCGATCGGAACGAATGGAAAGCGCCGCGGGCGGAATCGGAGGGGTTTTCGCCCTCCGAGGCAGGAAAAGATTTCTCCCCTTCTCCTTTGGCGTCGGGTCCGGTCTCCTCTGGTCCGCTCGGGGATCCAGGTGGAGTTGGTTTGGTTTCTTCGGCTGCGGCTGGCTGCCCCGCTCTGATCGATCTGGTTGCCCGAGGTGTGGAAGAACTGGCTGCCTAGCTGGGTCCCTCCGCACTCGCCTGCCGCTGCTTATATAGGCGAGGCCACCGCAACGGGCCTGCGTGGTGCGTGCCTGTGCCTGCGCCCTGCTGTGGCTGTGGCTTCGTTACCTCTAGATATATAGATAGATAGAGGATTATTCTGCTTTTCTTTAAAATAATAGATGGCTATTTAATTTGTTGGGTGCATATATATGGACAAATTAAAGGAAGAAGATATGGATGACTGCCAAAACCGGGGGCAGGGGCTAGCCCTGATGTATTGTGGTATTTAGAGTATTTTGATTGATCTGATATGGTAACTATATATGTATGCATGGTTGCTGTAAATAAATGTAAGACACTATTAATTTACTTGGTGCTAGTATGTGAGATAGGCAAGAGGTGACTATTGTGTATGCTTTGATCCATGGATGGTCCTGTTCATGCCTCATGAGACTAAGCAATGGCAATTGCACCAAAGTGGATCCCTGGACGTGGTGCTAGCATTACCGTGACTTTCGGAATTGGACCGAGCGAACACGACAAATGGGTTGTTGGTCAGTAAAAACGTTAGGCGCGGCACTTTTGGTGAGTGGATATCTTTTTTAGTTGTCGGGTATCGATGTCTCTGATACGACAACCATTAGATATGGTCGAATTGATAAGCATATCCAAGTCATGTATGCGTCACGGCGGTTTTAGTTGATCCGTTGCTAAGATGCAGGCATATGTAGGAGTAGCTTTTCTTCGCTCTGTCGTCTTTTGCATTTTCACCCTTTTACATGTCGGATGAACACGTGTCAGTTGCCATGTAGCTAGCAAGCGGAATCCTTACCGACAAGTGACGGGTATTTGTTGGTTTTACGAATATGATATGTAAGAAAATATGCTATGTGCATCTTGATGATCATCGAAACATCTAATGTTTTGTGTGTTATGAGATGGAAAGATGGCTATTGCACTAGAATGGCTCTACCGGATGTGCTAGCATATGACTTTGAAATTTCATCGAGCGAATGCGACAAACGTTGGCGGTTGCTCAGTGAAAGGATTAGGTGGAACACTTTTGGCGTTAGTGGGCCGTTTTTTCAAAAGTATCGATATTTCTGAGACGGTCACCTTGGATATGGTGGAATTGATAAGGATATCCAAGTCATGTATGTGTCATGGCGGTTTTCCATGGATCCGTTGCTAAAGTGATTGCGTAGGCATATCTCTGCTTTGTCGCTTTTGTATTTACACCTTTGTACAAGTCAAGTTAAACACGTCAATTGTCGTATACCTAATGAGTGTGGCCTTATTAACCGACAAATTTGTACATTTTTTTAATCTTTGACAAGTGGTGTATATTTGGATTTTCACAAACTATTATCTCTTCATATACTTTCTACCTAGAAAACAATCAAAAAATTCACACATATGGTGGTTAGATATACTGATAACTTTCTACTGATCGTTAAGTAAAATTTTACCAGCACAAGAGAAATTTCTACAAACAGAAAAACACAATAATCGACCCAAATCGCTGTATAGTGCCGCTTGCAAGCTATTTTCTTTCCAATTTAGATGATGCACAGTTTTCTTGGGGCAATTTACTCCCTGCTTTTATCCATGAAAAATAATTGAAGCACCTTTCAAATACACACCCATTTTGTTAGTTATCAATTTTTATTTCTTGAGAATTCAAGGTTGTAAAAATCACATTTCTGGGTGGTCTATAATCGAAGTACTAAAATTCACGGACCACAGTTTTGGACAATTAGCTCTGTACTTTTTACCGCAAATCACGTGTATAGAGCTTCCATGAGGTGAACCTGTCCCTTAGAATCCTCTTAGCAACCATTGATGACTTCTAGTAACCTCTGATGCACAAGAAGCAGTACATGGATCCAAACAAACATGGATGCACTTTAGAGTTGCCATATACCATTAAACCCGTGTAAAGAATGGTAAAAAAAATAACAGGTGAAAATTAAATAGTACTGGGAGGACCATAACCCAAGCTGAAACACAGGAGTAATCACCGCGGAAGAACAGGGTTGCTCAGAGCTTTTGTTCGGACGTTCGTCCATGAGGTCTGCACAAGAAATGGGTGGCAGTTGCTGAAGATATCAGGGAAATTGACGAGGTGCAGTCAGAGGCCACTGCATTCAAGCACTGCCATAATAGCACAGAGATCTCCCGTCTTCTAAAAGGAGAATGGAATCCCATTCATTTCCTGCTAGTACATCATCAGCGAATCCAGGGCACATTGATTATTTTTCTGAAAGATAATATAGATAAACGATGTAAACGAGGCAAGGTAAATATATCTTATATATGTTTATTACCATCTATCTTGCTTGCATCCATGTATATTTCTCTCTCAAAGTATATGGCAGTAGAGCTGGAAAATACATATACTTGGCATATTGTTATTATTCTCTTAACCATTGGGTTTTCCCGGATGATTCCTTTTTTTTTTAAGCAGTAGTTGATTGAGCAACATATATTTCAAGTGCTGTAAATGTTGACTGCTTTTAATTCAATGCATGCCTCTTGGCTGTAGAAGCTTTTTGGCTCTATAGGAGCTGCTAGCTGTATGTTTTGGATTTAGCTGATAATAATGTTACTGGTTATTAATATTTTTGGCTATAAAATAAATAAAAAAGGTTTAATGACATAATCATAGCCACACCACCAGCCGCCGTTCGATGCAAAACAGACCATATCTTCAAGCTAGCCTAGCCATCTTTAATATCATCCGCAGCGGTGAATCGATTTATTTAAGAGAGTGCCACCTATGCGATGAATCCATGCATCTAAAAATCGATTCTTTGTCATGCAGTGATGAGTCGACGCGAGCAGAGACATGGGCCCCTCTGGCGGGACAACAGCAGAGAGGAGACAGCTTTCCTTGGCCCTTCGCCGGATGAAGAAATCATTTTTTTTATTGCTAATGGCCGCTGATGAACCGATGTAAAAGTTTGCATCGACTCTTCTCTCTCTTTTGCATCGACTCTTCTCTCTCTTCTTCATGGATCGATGTGCTCCAGTCGATGAACCGACTCATTTTGGTGACACGTAGGATGTTGCATCGGTTTGTTTTTGCCACTCGAGAAGCCCTAAGGGCGTCAGATATATCTAGAACGGCTTTCGCGGCGCGACACAGTTGTCTGGCGTCCTGTTCTTCTATTCAAAATAGCCAAATTGACAGGTCAGCACCCAGGTGGGGCCACTTTGGTTCATGGGGCACCGACTCTAGAACAACATCAACTGATTGACCACAGTGGTTTTGGTAACCAGCTAGCGGTAAGGGTTTATAATTATTACCTAGGAATTTCATGAGAATCGTATGCAGGAAACACAAGAATTTCCTGCGTTCTAAAGGGATCCTAAACATGTTGGCTATACTAAGACGTACTACATATGTCGATATAGTTTTTCATGTGCGAGAATTTTGGTGGGGGTGTAAATGTAATATTGAGTTAAGGTAGGTTCTTCTTTATATAGTTAGTGGTTTGTTCGCTAGTGAACATTACTATCTAGGAAGAGGACGCTCGCTTATGTGAGAGTGTAGGTGGGACTTTTAACACATAGCAAGTAGTGTACTCAATGACAAAACAATGTCGTCATGTATTTTCAAATTTTAGGAGCGGTGACTATGATTATTTCGGTGGCCTATGAACTTTATAGCAGTAACTCACACAAGAAGCTAGTAGTAATGTACAGGGTCGTTTGGGAGTGCTCCAAGCTTCATATTCTCCATGAGAGAATCGCTTCTAGATTAGGTAGCCAAATAGGTAAATTAAACAAAGCTATATTATGATTTTCCGAGATCTAACAAGAATTTATTTCTCCATTTATACTAGGAGTTGGGAGTTAAAAATTATTTACCAGCGTTTGATCTGATGAATTAATCTTGTGTAAGGCTATTGGAGCTACCTACAACGATTCTAAGGAAAAAAGAGATCGAGCTCATCAGAGAGAAGCTGTTGTTCTTTTTGATATAAGATAATTCTCATTGGATAGTTTTATAGCGTTTTCAAGAATATAGAATGCAATGAAATATAAATGAAACAATCACTTTCGATGCATAATTCCGTTCTTTTGTTTTATGGGTATTTAATTATATAACTCATCTAGAGTTAGAAACTAAACCAAGAGAGATTCATCTACATATATAAAACTCATGCATTCTCTATCTTCTTAAAAACATTACCACATCATAAAAAAATTACTCATGTGACAAACTATTAAATACAGATAAAACTTTCGTGAGACTTCCGCTGAGACTAGACTAAGAGCAAGGCTAATAATACAGCCAGCTGCTATCTGTATGAGAACTTATAGCCAATCTATTAGCTCACCAATATAATAGTTAGCCTACTTATATTATAACCCACTTGCCTATCTCACAAAATTTATTGTTTTTAGTGCAAGCTGGCTGTAAGCTTACAACTTGCTTGTCTTATCTCTCTTCCACTTTCTACTCCATGTCATCGTATAGCCCACTTACAACTCCTTGTCATACTTGCTCTAAAGAGGTGCTGATTCACATGAGGTGTGTAGCTGTGCAACAGAATGTCATGCATGCATGCGAGAGGTAGGCCGTGGGGTGACTGGGTGGACCTGTAGTGCAGCCTCCGTGCATGGTCCATGGTGCTTCTGTAGCCTTTTGTGATCCCTTCTGCCTGCGCCAAAAGGCAAAAACAACATTTGACCCAGGTTTCACATATGCATATATATATATATATATATATATATATATATATATATATATATATATATATATATATA